CGGGGCCCGGGCAAGCGGGCGAAGGAGCAGGAACAGGAGCCCGGCAGGGGTGGGGGAAGTGGGAGGGGTCCCGGGAAACGCTGCGGGCGGGGGCGCTGCCTGCCGGCTCTGCGCGGGGCCACACACCGACAAGCACCAGGTAGGTGGAGACCGGGCGAGCTGCAGAGCCAGGTCTCCGGCCAGGGCGCAAGGGAACTTGCTTCGCTCTGGCTGAGCGCGCCAGGCGTGGGGGGGTAGGGAGCTTCCTCACCGGTCCTGGAGCCACCAAGGCCGCAGGCCTGAGCTGGGCTGTCTCTAGCCTGCTTTGGGCCAAGGGCAGAGCTGTCCTCTGGGGCGGAGTTAACAGGAGTCCGGCAGGTTTCCTCCAATGTGTCACTCCTGTCCCCCCCAGGGCAGAAGGCATCTCTGGGCGGCACAGCAGCTGGGGCAGTTGTGCACCTGGACAGGGGGTCGGAGGAACCATTCACGTGAGGGTTCAGAATCGTCAACTGAGTCTTTGCCTTGTCCTGGCCTCATGCTGCTTCCCCCCACATCTCTGCATTTGCAAATGCCCTGCCTTGGTTCTCAAGCAGCTGGCATCACAGGACATGCCTCATACTGTGCATCTGTCAGCCACAGTCACAGGCATTTGGGCCAGTCATGTAGCCTCACTTGATTGTCCTGTCTCCAGCTCCAGTGTAAAGTTGAGTAAGGCAGTGCCAGAAGGTCTACAGGTCATGTGCACAGAGTAGTAGGTGGTTGACTAGTGGGAGCTGGAGCATAAAGGCTACAGAGTCATTCTCTACATAAGAATGGCCATATTGGGTCAGAGCAAAGGTCCATCTAGCCCAGTATTCTGACTTCTGACAGCGACCAGTGCTAGATGGATCTATCCTCCATGAATTTACCTAGCTCCTTTTTGAACCCTATCTTAGTCTTGGCCTTCACAATATTCTCTGGCAAGGAGTTCCACAGGTTGCCCATTTGTTGTGTGAAGAAGTACTTCCTTTTGTTTGTTTTAAGCCTGCTACCCATTAATTTCATTTGGTGACCCCCTACTTCTTGTGTTATGGAAAGGAATAAATAACTTAATTTACTTTCTTCACATCAATCATGATTTTACAGACCTCTGTAATATCCCCTTTTCCTTAGTCATCTCTTTTTCCAAGCTGAAAAGTCTGTTTTATTAATCTCTCCTCATATGGCAGCTATTCCATACCCCAATCCTTTTTGTTGCCATTTTTGTTGCCCTTTTCTGAACTTTTTCCAATGCCAAGATATCTTTTTGAGAGAAAGCAACCACATCTGCACATAGTATTTTTCCAGACTTGAACCCTTGTCTGTTTAGATGGTAATGTTAGAGGTTTAAAGGTAGCAAGATAACTTATCTGAGTGAGGAAACAGCTTGAAGCTAGTTCCCACATCTGCCCATGCATTTATGCATCTAACATCTCCTAATTTTTCAGCAGACCGGCACCTGTTCACAGCTGCAGAAACATGACTGGAGTGCATTGGAAAGGAACCTCAACCAAAGCTGCAAATTGAAACACTCCCTCCCTTTAGAAAGGTTTGGCTCAAACATAGCTTCTCCAGCTCATCTCGAGGGGGGATGTGTATCATTGCCTTAGCAAGCTGAAGTTCATGTACATATTTGCTGAGTTACCAGGGCAGCGCTGGTAGCTCCACAGGTAGAGGCAGCCTGCATGTCTGGAGCTGAAGAGTAAGCGCTTTCTTTCAAACACTACATGCACATCCCTGTCTGGGTTTGCTCATCTGGCAAAACCCTCGTAAAATGGAAGCCACTAGTGCCACGAGGTGATGCAAGATCAAGGCAGGATATTTAGAGAAGAGGATGGAGTAATTTATGTTAGAGCTCGGAAACTCCTGCTTCTACTGCATACATAATACAATTGAATTTAAAGGCCGGATTTAGACTAGCTAGGGGAGGAGCAGATAGAGCGCAGCAAAGCTAGGCCGTGATAGCTCTAGGGCACTGCCACCCTTCATCCTTTGTGGAGTCAGACTGGATGTAAAGTGATTCCCACCCCCCTCCCCATCTGCTTGGCTCTAGTGTAAATAAATGAGCACACAAGACTCAGCACCCGGAGGTCCATCTTAATTGGGAATGAGGAGACTGAGGGGGGATATGATAGAGGTCTATAAAATCATGAGTGATGTGGAGAGGGCTGATAAAGAAAAGTTATTTATTAGTTCCCTAAATAGAAGAACTAGAGGACACCAAATGAAATTAATGGGGAGCAGGTTTAAAACTAATAAAAGAAAGTTCTTCTTCACACAGCGTGTAGTCAACCTGTGGAACTCCTTGCCAGAGGAGGCTGTGAAGGCTAGGACTATAATAGAGTTTAAAGAGAAGCTAGATAATTTCATGGAGGATAGGTCCATAAAAGGCTATTAGCCAGGGGATAAAATGGTGTCCTTGGCCTCTGTTTGTCAGAGGTTGGAGAGGTATGGCAGGAGACAAATCGCTTGATCATTGTCTTCGGTCCACCCTCTCTGGGGCACCTGGTGCTGGCCACTGTCGGTAGACAAGATACTGGGCTAGATGGACCTTTGGTCTGACGCAGTACGGCCGTTCTTATTTTCTTATGAGGCATAGGCCAGGCAGCAGCTCTAGCCCCCTGTTGTGCATTTCTCTCACGTTTCCCCACAACTGAATGAGCAGAGCCTGTCGGGCCTAAAGGGCTGGACCGAAAGGAGGGTGGGGATAGAGTGGGTTTGCTGGTGCTGGTGCGGTTGAAGTGAACCTGAGCACAAGAGAAAGGCAACTTCTGAAGGGAGCAAATCTCTGGAGTCTTGGATCCAGATTGTAAAGTCCAGCAAATGAAAGAGGATTTTACAAGGGCTAGTTGTATCTGAATTTAGGCCATTTTTACACTCAGCTGTTAGTGACTTGGGCCCCCTTCCATAAAGGTACTTAGATCCCAAAGTCTCAGTTCTCGCTCCACCATGATCCATAAAACTCCCACCGTCACCCTCAGTGCCAAACCTCTCTTGGCACCTACATTTTCAGGGTAAATGTTGCAGAGCTGCCTATGGGCACCCACGTTACTGCCTCCCTCCAGATGCCTAATTCCTGCCTCAGCCCCAGAGTGATGAACGAAGTGGGGGAAGTGAAGCATTTGGCTGCCTGTGTCACACCTGGGACCCAGTTGGCTGGGTGTGCTCAGAGGCCACGTATGCCATCAGGTCCCATTCAGACATGGGGTGGAGGAGGAGGAGGAAGGAGTGGTGGTGCCACCCTAACACTGTTAGCCCCAACCATGGGAACACAGAGCCATTCTCTCTGTCTCAATGCCTGTTCCACTGTTCATACTTCTGCCAGTGGGCTAGAGAGAGAATGGCTCTCCCCCACAGTGGTTGGGACACACACATGGAAGGTGGGCAACCCTGGGCCGGGTCCCTCTGCTCCAATCACGCTTTCATTATATATCCACGGGGAACAGCTTCAACCCGAGAGACTGAGGGACCCTCCTACATTAGACTAACCCCATTAGGCTCAGTGGTTAAAGCACTTTCTTGAGACAGGCCAGATCACTGTTCAGATCTTTCTCCCTGTCTGGCAAAAGGGGGACCTGAACCCAGGTTTTCCAAATCCCAGGGGAGTGCTCTGTAACCAACATGCTAAGCATTATAATGACCACTTCCTACTCCGGCCTTTTTGTGTGGCACAAGACAGGCACCTAAATCATTCCCACAAGAAATGCCTTAGACGCTTCACTCCAGCAGGTGAGTTCCTGTTTGTGGAACTCCATGCAGAGAGCGGCACCTCCCTGTCATCTGGATTTAGGTGCCTCGGTGACATGACGGGGCTTCATACATTCCCCTGCATTGGCATCTCCTATAACTGGCTTGTTTAGACATCTCCCCGCCTAGCATGCTGGCTTTTGTGATCTACATTCTTAGGCTCCCATCTCCCAGTTCATTGTAGAGATGCATAGGCTCCTAATTCGGGCTTTGGAGTGTGGTGTGCCTATGATTTTCTGTGTGCCTAAAAGTTAGGTATTGCAATGCTGAGTGGCGTGGCGTGGCACCTAAGACCCATTGTGTATCTGAGCATGGGTCAGATACAGAGACACACACCTTCAGGTGAATTTCTGCCCTAGCATGTTACCCCAGGGATAGGTAGGGAGAAGGGATCATTACCATCAATCATCATTATCAGCTGAAAAGAAACCCCCGTAAAAGGAAGGAACTCACAAAAATATGTATAGTTGACAAACCAGTAAAGGACACAAAATAATGCTTTCCTCTAAGAGCTGCCTATAAATTAGGTATAAAGAATTAATACAGCCAATATAATATATTAATGGCATTTCTATGACATGATATGGATAATATACATTAATATATAAATACCTTACAAATAATTCACAGAGTGTTTCCATTTCATCAACAATCATCACCCAATGTGTTTACTTTATGGGAAGGATTATACATTTCATTATAAATGGCTTGCTGGGCATGTCAGCAACTTTTACATCTCCATTCACTTTATTATTAATGGCTTCCCGAACAGTAACCGCACAAAGATGCACACAATGCAGCATC